CTGCCGTCGGGACGCCCGGTTCCCAACTTTGTACTTCCAAACAGCTGGCAAGCTCCCATGGGATCTGAGAGTCCCTCCAGGCCAGCAACTCCCTGCCCAAGACAGCAGCAGCGATGGGAAGCGGCCTCTGAGGCGCCCAGGAAACCTGCACAGACAAGGGCAGGAAAACAAGGCAGATTCCCATTTCTGAGTGTGCTACCCAGATCCAGCCTCTCCTATAAACGCTCTCGCTCCGCAGCGGCACCAGCGGCTCCAGACGGCCCGTTAAATCATGGCACAGGAGCAAGAGGAGCCTGCAGGGCCCCGCGCCTGCCCAGACACCCGCCCGGGGTCCTGCCTGCTGCTCCAGCACCCGGACGAGCTGCGGAAGCCGCTTCGGCTGCTGCTCGCTCCAAACCCACGGCCCCGGCTGCCCAGCACGTGTCGCTTCATTGATTTACAGAAAAAACAAACCCTGCGCCGAGCTGAGCAGAAAAACACCCAGCGAGGACGGTGCGTGCAGGAGCGCCCCGCTGCACCGCGCTCCGAGCGGCCTTCCCTGCTCAGAGCAGGACACAGCAGAGCTGCAGCACGGACCCAAACCGTGGGAATAATAGTTTTCATTCCAGCGCTCTTTGGCGCTGCAGGAGCTCAGGGAGCTGCTCGGTGACCAGAACCGCGCGGGCTCTGCCCTCCCACTGGGATTTCAGGCACGCTCTGCTCCAAGGGGGCCTGCAGGACCCTCGGCACCGGGCCCTGTCCGAGCCAAGGCCATCGTCTCCCATCCCCTCATCCGCTGCCCTTCTCCGCGTGGAACCTCCTCCAAACACCAACCAAGAGCCACGTTCCTACCCAAAGAGCAGCTGTGACGTTGAGACGGAGCAAAGCAAGGAGAGAAACCTGCTCCACGTCACCAGGGAGCGGAGAGAGCGGCGGGTCACTCGGGAGCAGGGAGGCACTCCCAGAACTGCAGCAACATCCAGCTGCAGCGCCAGCCCTGCCGCAGCCTCCCGCGCCCCACGGGAGCCCCAGCTGCCCTGTGTGCAAGGGGCTGGCTGCCAAAATAAAGGTGAGACCCTGGTTTAGACACTCCGGGGTCCGTCTCGGCCCCGGCCTCGCTCTCTGCACCCGGCTGGCATCTCCCATCCCGTCACAGCATGGGGGGACATGAGCAAACACGTTGGAGGCTTCCAGCAGGGAAACGGGGAAGATAAAGATGCAATAGATTAGATCTGTCTTCTGTGAGGAATTTAATGACTGCGCCTGTTCAGCATCATTAAGCAGTTTGTCTTAGCGGATTAACCCTCCCCCTGCAGCTCCGCAAACAGCCGGGACTCGGTGACCACCGGCGCCCGCGCGGGAGAGCCAAGGGGGCCGCCAGGCCGGGCTCCAGCCAGCAGGGCTCCTTAAAAGCTTTTACTACCTGTTGGTACCCAGCAAAGCCGCCCTGGTGCAGCGCCAGCCTGCACGGAACGGGGCCCTCGCTGCCACCAAGGGCACCTGCAGCCTCTGCAGAGCACCCTGCCCG